TCAGGTTTTGAAACTTAATCTCACTTAAATAGGTATGAATTTTATGGTTCATCTTAAGAGTAATTTTTCTGAGATTGATTAAAAAAAAGAGTACATTTTCTCTTTTTTTTTTTAACTATGTCAAATTTAAATTTGATTTAATCAATTTTTTCATAACTTGAATAATATTGTGTATAGGTGTTATGTAAGTGTAAAAAAATACCATTTATCCGGATATCGATTAACCGAACTTACTAATCAACCAGATTGTTCATTAGCCGTACGTTCCACCTCCGCTGCCTCTTAATGGAGAAACATTTATTTTTAAAAATTAGTTTTTTATTAAGAATTAAATAAAATATGTATTAATCTTCAGACGTTTGCAGGCGTTCCTCCTGGGGATGGTCCCTGAGAGCTGATTAGATTAAACTAGTTTCTCTAATGTTAGATTTTCTCATAAAATAGAACGGAGAAATCCCGTCTCACTTGCTTTTTACATGTTTGTAGTGAACATGCTGTATTGATGTACGAGTGTCAAACATGTGTGGACTTGTACTACCAGTACACGAAAAAATTGAGATAGTTAAAAGACTGAAGAAAAATGGAGCCGGATACAACGTATTGCTTTATCTAGAAAAAAAAAGATTGAAAAAAAAAACATAAGTTGTCTAAAAAGTTTTATCACTGAACTTTCTTACAGTTGTACAATTTTCCCGATATTCCGTTAACTAGATCGACCTTAGTCCTCATCTATCTGGATGATTAGTGTTCCACTGTAAAGTAATTAATGAAACCATATCTTACACCTTAGATGTCCCTTTAAATTAAGTAGATTATGTTCTGTAAACTTATTAATGATTACAAACTCTTCTATTCGAATATGTGTATATTTTTATTTTAAGATATATATAATACGTACACAAAATTGCATTAATTTTTTCTGACACTGCTTATAGTATAACTTCGGAATCTTCCAGTAGAATATAACTTTTAAGGATCTTCGGGACATCAAGTTGTTCGACGCCACACGGAAGTTGAAGGCATGCCGCTAGTTGTCGACGAACAGAACACCTTGAAAGATGACCAAGAGATCTTGGTCTTCTGGGTGAATTTACATTCTCAAGTACATGATCCTCATACCAAGTCCAGGCTTTATGTAGTGTATTGACATCATGTGCACCGGTTGGTAAAATGACTAGGCCACTCTTTTTGAAGTCCCCCTCACGCAAGAATGGATCTGTTATACTGTTCCACAATAGCTTGAGAATGTAGGCCGCTGTTATTGAAGGCATCATTATTCTTTCCCCATAAAGAAACAAATACGTAATTTGAAGGGAGCGGAAACTGGTTTTACTCGTGACAAAAATACTAGCAATTGCTACTTCTCTGAAAAATCTGAGAAAGAAAAAAAAAAAGAAACTTTTAGAATCGGCAAACAACATTAACTGAACAACTAACCTCTTTTTTACATTAAGTTAAAGGGAAAGGTAAAAACATTCAAGCTATACAAAATCCGAATAGACAAACACATGTTTTGTTAAAAAAATAACAAGAGGACAAAGCATAAAAAAGCATATGCAAGCATTAAATTTTTCAAGTTTTAAAAATTGACAGACTTAAAAAATCTAACTAAGTTTGAAAAATTAAAAAAATAAAAAAAAATAAAGAAAAAACTTATTTTTTTGTTAACTCTAAAACAGAGATCGCAGGACTGCATCAATGATGAAGAACATGGGGGATATTTGGTGGTCATAAAATTATATTACAAAAGCGATGCGCTTTTCATTTTTCGCTTAAGTTTGAACAAAAATAAAACGATTTTATCTTTTTTAGGATGCAAAAAAATTTTTTATACCAATACAATTTTGCAATTTGAATTTCATAACAGATAGCTAATTGCACATTTGTCATGTGATGCATGAAAAATATCATTGTTTTTGTGTAATTTGCGTTAAAAGAACTTTTTGCACCATCCGCATCAATTTTGATCAGTAAAATAAAAATAATCAAAATATTTTTTTCAACTAAAAATAACCAAATATACGGTACTAAATTACCTATACAAAATTAATAAGTGAGCAATTTTATTGTTTAACACTTTTAAGAAGAGCTTCTTTGTATCCTCAGAATTTTTACGACGAAAAACTTGTCCCAGCCATCTGATCCCGTATGACTTAATAACTTTCAAAATGTGCGGTTGTCTACATTTATTATACACTTCGTGATTATGTAAATTTCTCCGTGTATTATTCTTTATCACTGCTCCAAAAATTAGCAGAAGGATTTTTCTTTCAAAAGGGAGTAATCTATTTTTTTCTCCTCTATTAAGCACCCAAGTCTCGCGGCCGTACAAAATAATTGGTCTAATAAAACGCGAGTGTGTAAAAAGGCAATCACTAGAACCAAAAATGTTTTTTTAATTGTAAGGTACACAAATTGATGCACCATTTTAAAGTAATTAATTTGAAATGACAAAATAATCAGTCGAAAAGTTCCAGAAAAATACAATTTAAAAAAGTAAGATAATTAAAACGCCAAAATACAAAAGTGAGCGAAATCGGTCGAATAGCTTTATTTATTATAATATTATTTATAACATTTAAGAAGAAGTTGATTCTTAAACTTTCCTCTCCTTGGAACAACTCGACCCATTTCGTATACAATTCCGAATATAAAAAATCGAATTTAACGAAGATTTTCCTAATGAGACTGCTGCATCAGAAGCAATCAATCGGATTTTCCAAAAATTAGTTAAAGAAACAACTTAAAGAATAGAAAATAAGTGAAAATACTTACTCATATGCAGCTTTGTACGAACAGTAAAAATTGTGAGTTGAAAACGATAAGCTTTCTGTTTTTCCATACCTAATCATTGGAATAAAATTTTCCACGGTAAGACATATAAAATAATTGAATGAACTGTAGGACATTGTGTCAACTTCTTTCCATACATTCAAAACATCTATTTTAGATTCATGCGCAGCTTTTAATATATCCTCTAGCATTGAATGGTCATCAAGGTAGCTATAGTAGCCATAGAAGTCATCATTAAAAATCAATCTTAAAAATTCTATGAACACGCTATGGTGAATGCGATGTTTAGAGGAAAGCCTTAAAAGTTCTAAAATCTTCTTATCGATCCGGTGATTAGTGTAATGTAAATCATATATCCCGATACCTAGAGATTTTAAGTAAAACTTTACAGCAGAAGTTAAATACTGACTGCACTGGTTTTTCTCGTGGAATTTTATCAAAAACCTACCGCACCACACCAACGCCCTAAATGGCGGCATAGAACAAAATATCTTTTTCAACTTCTCAGCTGCCCAAATGTCATCATCACTAGCTGGTGCCATAATGGATTCTATTTCAAAAGTATCGTTCAGAAATCTTTTCGGAGATCTACCTCTTGCATTTCTGTTTTCCGTAACAGCTACTTCTTCACGTTCTTCCAAAAAAGCAATATCCTCTCTTTCAAGCCCACACTGACATCCTTCAGCGCCATTTTCCTTCAGGTGAAAAGCTTTGAAAATGAGCAAGCAATCGCTGTAATCCAAACAAGTGGAAGACATAGCAAATTAGAATTTTAAAATAAAAATAACAGCTTCGATAAATAATAAAACTAGAATACTATTCTTTAAAAGCTTTTTAGCAATATTATTTACAGTTAACTATCAAATGCTTCAGATTCTGGAGTTATGGAAATTTCTACATCCAGCTAATCCAATTTCCAGCTGCCTATCACCAAAGGAAAGGTCCCTGTCAGGGTCGTTTCACCGAATTCCTCTGATTCCCTCTTCTTACGGGCGTGGTGATGATCCATCACCATACCATTGACCAAGCCATAGACTGGTTCTGGGATTGTTTCACGGAAAATACCACCAGTGGTGCTTACCCCCATCATCCCAATACTTTCAAAGGAACACCTGGGGCATGTATCCTTACATTAAAAAGAACTAAAGAGGTTATCTTTGGCATGATGTAGTAAAAAATCTCACCAATATTATGAATGAAAAAGAACAAATGTTCAGTACCTGCCGTTATTTAAAAAAAAAAAAAAAATATTAATGAAAAACCATCGACTCAAATGATTCTTTACAACTTAACCGGTAAACTAGTTTGGCGCGATTATCGCCGCTTTTACACCAAATGCTTATTTCCGATGTAGTTTATTAAGCAGAATATATAGTGAGGAAGAGCATAACACTCTTCATTATATTTGGGAGGTGCGCTTTTAAGCTTTTCAGCAATTTCTTGGAAAAAAAGATTACAAGATCACGCACTTACTTTGTTTGAACTTTAAAAATTTTTTTATAGGAATTTCTTGTTTTAAAAAGCATAAGTATTCTTATTGGAGGAATTTTTATTTTTGATAACATTATTTATATTATTAAGGAAATTCTTATTTTCAAAAATCTAAATTGATTTTTTAAAAAGCATCATTTATTTTCATTATAGGTGGAGGGGAATTATTATTATTAAATATTGCTTTTTTTAAAAAAGAGGATCAAATTTTTTATATTTATAAAAAAACTCTTATTTCGATGAATATTAGGGGAAAGTTGGACAAAACGGGATACCATTATTGTATTTATTTGCTACGGAAAATCTGTTAAAGTGAACCATACATTATTTTTTTTTATAGCTACATCATTTATTGAAGTACAGAGAAAACATATTTTAAATTAATTTTAATGACTGTGAAATAGAAAAAAAAATCATTTTCCAAACTCTTACATATCCCGTTGATGCATACCTGAGTTGTACAAAACGGGATAGGGTTTACAATGTTTAATTGTTTGTGTAAAACTAACTGAAAAATATAATTAACTGACAGAAAACTGTGAAGCAAAATTTCTAAAAATTTTATTTATAGGATTTGATTGCTTCTAACATTTTTATAGACTGTTGTTTTATAATTAAGTGCACAAAAATTATGATGATACATATGTTTTTAAAGAGAATTTGGGAATCTGGACAGATCCCGGCACTTTTAAGAAGAGCTATTATAGTCCCCATTTTGAAAAAGAATAAAGATCCTGGAGAGTTGAATAGCTATAGGCCCATCTCTCTTACGAGGATACTTGCTAAAACAATGGAGAGACTTGTGGTCAACCGCTTGAACTGCTATCTGGAAGAATATGGTATACTGACAGCAGAACCGTTTTTATGTTTATATGGGCCCTGGGCCTGCCCTTATCTGGGGGTCCTTTATGAGTAAATATAGAGAGAAAAATTTAATTTTGAATAATTTTTAAATATTATTTTATTTTAAGAGTAAAAAACATATAAATTAATTATGCAAACTTATATATACATTATTTTTATCGAAAATTTAAGGTAACAATACTTTTCGCGCTTTTTGAGAGGCGAATCATCTATCACATCATCAAAATCAATTTCCTGTAAGACATCATACAGTTTGCTTTGCAGCTCAAAATCTGTAAGACTTAGAAACATCAAATTATGATGGTGTGTAGAAAATATGCTAGGAGTTAGAAAGAATACAAGAAAATACAGTTTGATTATTAGTTTTTTTTATAATCTTTGAAAAACTGACTCAATTTTGAGCCAATGTTTAACTACGTAGCCTTGAAATTTTAAAACCAATCCAGAAGACAAGGAAACTCCTGAATCAGTTCCCAGAGGTATTGAATTGTCATAAGAACTTGGAGGAGTTTATGACCCCGACAGATTTAACATGCACCAGTCACCATTTTATACATGGGTATTATTCGGCCGGCTGAATTCGAACTTCCATTCTCACGAGCAGGAGTCCATAGCCCTTCCAACCAAGCTATCGTGGCCAAGTTTTTAGTTTATTTTATAACAGTCATTGAACAGCCAATCCAATTTCGAGTTTACGACTATAATGTTCAGCTCCGTAGCCTTGTAATTTTGAACCCAGTCCATCATACAAGATAATTCCCGGATCAAGTATTGGAAGAAATTTTTGCCTTCATGGAGGACGCTTTGATGAAACTTACCCGCATTTACGGTACATAGCGAAGAAGAACGCGAGTGCCTTCCACGGTTAGCCTGACGGTAAAGGGACACTAACCCATGATTCGCCTACCACAGAGAATATTTCACGTCAGCACTGTGGTCGGTAAAAGTTGGGTGTGAAATTCATATCGACCAGCCATCACTGGGATTCGAACTCGGTGCACGTCATTCAGAGGAGAATGCTATATTCCTTGAGTCCATCTTCATTGAGTAATAACCCTGCGGCAGGTGCCAATTTTCTAATTTTAATAATTGGTACCAATTTTATTGATTTGCCGAAATTTAGTCATTTTCAAAATGTATATGGTAATTCAATCGTAATTTTTGCAGAAAAAAAAATGGAAATAAACCGTTTTTCCTTTTATTCTGCAATAAATGCGGAAGCAACCACGAGGGTTAATGAGCAAAATGAACAGGGAGCGGAGTCTTCTAGTTTTTTTAAATAATTGTTAAATTGTTAGTCTTTAACATGCATACTTAAAAAAAAAGATAAGAAAACATTTTTCAGTATTAGTAACTAGTAATTAAAGACTGTCATCGGATAGAATAGAACCTACGATCTCACAGTTTTGTGTTAAATTTCATAATCATCAGCCCCAAATATACACACCTGCCTTGCGGATATATTTTTAATATTTTTTTTTAAAATTTAATAAATTAAGTCATTTGGATACTTGACATTCTGGAAAATTGCTTTCCAAATTAGAATTTTTAACGTTTATAACAAGTATCTTCAGTGCATTTAGAAGTAAACTATAATTCGTCTTATCTTATTCATTTTCAGCTTATGTATATGCACCAAAAATAAATTCAAAACTAGACTGTATATAACACAAGGACTGCAAATTTAACTGTCGGAGATAAAATCTTATTTAAGATTGATAATGATAAAAAGATGAAAAATCTACATTCCTCTAATTTGAAAATAGTCTGCTTTTAGGTTATACTGCTCGTAATTACCTTAATAAACTTTAATCGTAATGCCGGGGTTCCGCCGATAGAAGACATCTAATATATCAATGAAACACGCTAAAGCTTTATATCAGTTAGCAATTAGTTTTAGAATTACAATTATAGAATAATTATTTTTATTATAGAATGAAAGGTTTTAAAAGACAAATATTTGTTAATGTTTAATATTTAATCAAAGAAAAAACATAACCCATATTGAAATCTAACGAATAGCCCCTGATAAATTTTGTGACTAAAAAATATTGAAACCTGATTGATTTCCGGATTTTAGAAACACCTTCTAGTTTTACTATTCAATCAAATTGTTTTCGATGTCTTTCATCCCACCTGTCTCACTTGTGATTCAGCATATTTTGATATCATTTTTGTTTCGTTCTCACTTAATAGTAACTTGTTTGTGACAATTATTTTTTAAACACTTTTTTGCAAAAAGCCAAAAAATATAATATTGAGGACATTAACTTAAATATTATTATTAATTTTTTTTGTATGCTTCTTTTACTCACATCATCCACACTGACAAGCAACTGTCTGCTCTAAATACTGCGATAACGTGAAATGAGATAGCCAAACAAAACGTATGGAGTTATTTAAATTCATGTTCAAAAGTATTAATTGTTTTTTTGAATTGACAATTTCAGTCATCTTTTAGGCATTTAAAACTGCAGTATATCACATGAAAGTATTAAATATATCAAAAGTAAAATAAAAGAGAATTCTGATCCTTGGTAACAGATATTAAATAGTCTCATCATCGAATGATGGAGCATAATTACCTTTTAAACAAATCAATTTTTTTTAACCTTTTAAACTAAAAATTTGCTTATTTTTAAATAATTTATTAATGCTCAAATTGTTGAAAAGATGATATGATAACGAAGTTTTTTATTTCATTCAGGCATTTATTTATATTTTTTTCATTTATTTTTTTATTAAATTAAATGCACACGTTTCAAATAGAAACAAAGCTGTCAAAATTTCATATATAGTTTCGATTTGCAATTTTAAGAAATTGTTTCGTCTTTGATTTGGAAATTTAGAAGCCTTATTAATTAAAAAATTGAGAAGCCTTGTTAACTTTAGACACATAATAACAACAAAAATGAGGCAGTTAAAAATAGAAACGAATATGATGAATAAACAATAAAATCATGAGCTAACTAAATAAATTAATTTTGTGTACGAAATATAATATTACAAATTAGGCATATTTCATATTTTGGGGAAACATGGAAAATTTGGTCATACAGGAGTTCTAAAAAGTTTTTTTTCTCGTGTTTAAACATTTGCTTAGCTGATGATCATTTGATTTCAATGCTCCATTAAACAAAATCCTATGTTGTTTCTGTCTATTAGTAGTAAGTAAATTAAAATAAAATTGCATTTGTTACCTCAATTTCATCCAGAATAGACCAAATCAAGAATTTTGGCAGATAGGCCAGTCAAAGATGGAATTGAATAGTGGCCCGCTATTTAAATAAATAAACAAAAAAATTCACAATGTATATATAAAAAACTGCGCAAACCTTTCACCTTTTTCCTAACCACAACCAAAATTGATATAATAAAAACATTTGCTTACCTCCAACGTGAAAGATTTATGTCTTCTTAATATCCAACGAAAATTTGATGCAGAAATTCCAATTCACGGATTCTCTTACGATTAATTTGAAAAATAACAATATGAAATCAACTAATAAAATTAAGTCAATAAAACTATTAGGCTAGTTGAAATATTTAAGATGATTAAAGGATAAAAAGCTTTTATAATAAACTGGAAAAAATATCTAAATTTTCTATGAAAGAAAATTTAGAATTGAACGAGGCCCAATTTAAAGGCATTATGGAAATCTCAAGACAGAGTGACCCAAAGGAATTCTAAGAAGACTCTCCCCCTATTCCAAGAAATATTTCTTCCTAGAAATTTATGAGCAGAAATCAAACAAAAGGGTGTTTCTGTGGATATCTGATT